GAGACAGGAAATGTCAATATTTTTTGATATGTGCTAGTTAGTAAGGATGTTTTCTTGTCCTCTGATCACTAAAGTTTAGTTTAAAAAAAATCACAATTTATGAGCGTACAGGTTAGGAAACGTGACGACTGTATCGTCACCTTTTTTAGAGAAAATCAATCGCTGCTGCTTTTGGACTTTTTTTGTTACATAGCAAACTTCTACAGCGAGAAAAACATGCTTTCACTTTTTTCGATATTTGAGAAATTTACGGATTAACTGAAAAACAAAGAGAAGAATCAGCAGATTACAGCAAGCTGCATCCCTCAAATGTTGCCGTGGATCGTTGCCGTCACTCTGATAGAAAAGCAGTCCTGCATCTTTGAAACAGTTTAAGGCCAGAGGTACATTAACAGTACATAAAAACAATAAAATCATAGAGACTGTTTTTGAATAAATGTTTTGGAAACGTCTGCTGAGTATTTACATTGCAAGTGTTCATTGTGTGAGCAAACAGTCATGGCTGCTGATGGATGCTTTGGCTCTCGCAGGATCTGAACCTGAAACAGGAGTTTCTCCTTTTTTTAAATTTTTTTTGCTAACAAGAAAACTTTTTGTTCCAAAACATTTACTCAAATATTGACATCTGAATCAAAAACAACTAATTTTCTGGTCGATCAGCTAAAAACAATCAAATAAAAACAGTGAGTTTGTAAACAAAGGCAAAAACAGATTGTTGCTGTCATTTTTTTGTCATCTTGTAAAATATACACCTCGTATCGCACAGTCGTCCAGGCAGGACGAAAAACGTCGTCGTACCATCTCGCTTCTAAAAAATAGGATTAAGATATGATCTCCCGTATCGTACACAGGCGTCCTTCGTGACTGCACGTTTCAGCATCGCCACAACTCATTATTTTGTTTCTCTCTATCTTTAACGTACCGTATAAAAAAAGTTTGTTCACATGCACATTCTCTCCTCTCAGCCTGAGCGTCGAGCCCGCAGACCGAAGCCCCAGAGCCGCAGATGGAACCACTTCTCATGTTTGGTGATGGATAAACACCGAGTTTGATTTTCCTCTCATACAGGATGTCAACAGCACAGAGGTCGAAGCAGGATTAGAGCTGACAAGATAACTTCAGGTTTAACTCTGAGTGATCAGTTAGGAAGCTCACAGAAACTTACGCAGAGATCAGAGATCAGCATGTGCAAAACGGTCATCTACCGACCAATCCTCACCCCTGATCTCAGCAACCGTCTGCAGCTCGTTGTTTCCTGAGCAGTGTCAATAAGAAATGTGGATTCTTATGAGCAGCTGTTGCAGGAGCTTCCTTTTCTCTTTTTTGTTGTCGATTCATGTGACTTCTAAATCCGTCTTATTGCTCTATAAACCATAAAGGAGTTTTATTTTCTGCAGGTCTGCTAGGGCCCTGAGTGACGCAAAACCATCGTTCTTCACAGCTTCACTACCCCTAATGCTACCTGCACACTGGAAGCGATTTGCAGCGACATGACGTAAGCGGTGAATAACATTTCAGGACTTCAACCAATGGGAAGAGGGCGGGACCCAAATATAAACTTGAGACCAAAGAATACCTGCAATCGGCATTTGGCCTGGTAGTGAATATGTTAGAGGGTTACTGAGACACCCGGAGACTCGTACGTTCGCTTCCAGCGAGTATGCAGCTTTAGCGAGACAGCGAGTGTTTGCTGATAAGCCTGCAGCTTCCATACGAATCATGGACCAGTGCAGTCGCATGAAGGCTTTCAGTGCAGCTCGTGCAGCTGTTTGTGATGAATTTTATCTAATGATCACTGCAAGCACTCAATGCTCAATGCTAATGTTTCCCTAGCAACTGTTGGTCGCCAGTCAGTCTCTAGGCCTGTGTGACCGAGGCCTCACTTACATGTGGGACCCTCAAGTTTGGGTTCAGACACTGAGAGGTCGACTGACCTTTACAGTCGTGCAATCATATCTATATGAATCTTTAAAGCCAGGGTTCACATCTTGAGATGATAAAACCTTCATGTGAGGCTAACAGAACTGCAGATGTTGGTGTACTGGAGGAGATCCAGCACCTGTAAACCTCACAGCTGTAAGGGGACATAACGGGATAGCAGCAGTGCTAACAGCTGTCCAGATGTGCACCAGATTGATTGTACTTCATATTCTGCACTCTGCTCCTGATTTTGAAACCTACAGCTGTGAATGATTTCCTCTCAGCGTAAAATGAAAGCTTCCAGAGAAAAACGTGTCCAAACCAGGTCCATCGACGGCTCTGGGTCCACCAGTGTTTCCTCCTGATAATTAATAATCTCCTCTAACTCACAGCTCACACTGCAGACACGACAACGTACCACAAATCGTCTGCTCCGTGTCAGAAACTACAGAATTTAACGCTACAATCAACAGAAGTAATAACCCAACATCCCCCGTTGTGACACTCACAATCACGCGCTACAAAAACAATAACAATAAAATGAAAATCAACAAATGCACTTTTAGAAGATGATGAAACGGGTACGGCCGTATCCGCCGATGCATCACAGGAAGTTAAAACACACACACAAACTCAGTGGGCGCTGGTTGGCTGTTTGTGGTCCGGGGTGTTTACAGTTAGAAACAAACATCATTAAAAAAAAAAAAAAGAGTCTTTGGGCTCTCGCTCCCATGCTGTGGTCGTTCATGCCGGCTGAGAGGGTGATGATGCCAGAAATGACATCACTTCATTACAGTTAGGCCCCACCTTCCTGTCTGAGTCCAGTGGAGTGTCGAAGAAGGAGATGTTGCCTTTTGCCATCCCTGTGAGCGTGGAGTTGGGGGGTGGGGGATAAGGGAGGTCAAGCTTGGGGTCAAAGGTGACGGGGTGAAGGAGGAGGTAAAAACAGAAAAACAAGGAAGCAGAGAAAGAGTGAAGGCGTTCAAACGGTTGGACAAACCCAGCCAGCAGCCATCGCCACCTTCACAGGAGGGACCACAGACACACAGAGACAGAAGGGAGGAGCCAAAGGAGAGCTAGCGGTTGTTCTTGGCCGCCTCCTTCGCCGCCAGAATGAGAGGAGTCAGACTGGAGAGCGGCTTCGCCATCTTCAGAAACTGATGCTGAGGGAGGAAGTGAGGGGCGGGGAGGAGGAGGGGACAGAGAGAGGGGGGAGAGAGAAACAGAGAAAGACTTCAGTTCACTGCACAGAACATTCACCACAGGCCTGCAGCGCTGAGCAGGATCTGGAGGCTTAGCGAGTTCAGGTGTGACCCTGGGCGTGCAGTAGGACAGGTGGATCACATCACCACGCAGAGTTATGCTGCAGCTGTAACTGCGCTGGAGCAGGTGGTGTTTGAGATCAACAGGTGCAAAGTCACTGCCTAAAGACCAATCAGATACCTGGAGGAGCTCTCAGGAGTTTTTGTCTTTCATTTAGCATCAATGAGATGAGTATTAACATATGTACTTAACCCTGAAACAGGGATTATATTTGTTGAGTAACCTGCTCGAAATCTGTTTTTAGTTACTCTTTACTTCATTCACTGCTATCAGAAACCTGCAGGACACTTTGAAAGTCATTCTCCTCACAGTGTCGACTGTCACTGACGTCACTGCTGTCAAACTGTTTAACATCACAGATCCAAGCAGAGGAAATTCATTAATACTGACGTACATTTTAAACATGGTGTATTTTCTTAAACTGTTAAATAGAAAAACTACTAAAATTATACAGGCTGTTTGGCTAATGAGCATCTTGAGACATTATGGGAAAGTTTGACACCATCAAAAAATGGCAAACTTACCATATAGACCAGTACTAGTAGATTACTGGCACATGAAGTCCAGTATAAATACAGGCACGGGTGCTTCAGACATAAAGTGACAGCAGCTGTTTCTTTTGCATGCAAACTATTTTCATCTGCAGTGAGTCCCTTTAAATCAATTTAATGCCTTTAGTGCAAATACAGCACCGTCCCTGTCATCATCTGTCTTTACTTTACAGTCTAAAGCACCTCGAGGTACCTGTTGTTGTGACTTGATGGTATATAAATAAAACTGAACTGAATCTTTTTATTATGAACAAACCTGAGTAACTGTGGAAGTCCTCTTATTAAATTGTCTCTCTGTCACTCAAATGTCTTCAAACTTGTGAGGACCAGGCTTTTAGTCCCCAAAGGTTTGGTGAATTTCCAATTTCTGGTCCCCACAAATATATGAATGCACACTCACACACACCTGAAACAGCCTTTTAACTTTTATTTCAGACAACGAGAACTGCACACACACACTCAGAGGACCCATTAAATTGAATTACATCTTCCACAGAGCTCCTCCTGAAACACTACAAAGACCTGTGAGATCTGACTCATTGCAGTTACATAACTCACGTTGCTCCTCACTCACACCTCCACCTCGTCTCCACACCCACTCAAAATGTCTGTCTGTGAGGCTCCTCTGAAGGAGGTGAAGTGCTCAGCGTCAAGTCTAAATGGATGTTTTATGCCAAATTACAGATGAATCTGTCAGATATGTAACTTCGAGATAAGCGACGCCTGAAGGAGGAAAGCAATGCCAGTCAAATACAAAACTGCAGATCTGAATATTACTCTGATATTCAAAAGAAAACCCTCAACTTTCTATTAACTTTACATACACAAACTGTGAAAATATTAATAATAATAATAATAGATTAAAGAGTCAAATTTCTGTTCATTCTCCGGAGGCTGCTTGTTCTTCTTATCTGATTATCTGATTATGTTTCTTTGTTCTTTTCCGTTAGAGCTGCTGCTGAGGATCTGTATGTCAGGTTTAATAATATCAGTATCATAACTATATTATGACAATAAGGTTTTTATAAAACTGGATAAGAAAAGGCTTTATGTCTCTACATCAGTACACGTATGAACAAATGCACGCACCCAAACACAATATGTAAGTTAACTTTGTCTGAGCCAAAAGTTGACAAAATCTTTGTCTACAGCAGCTAAAAACAAGTAGATGTGACAAAAAAGAAAAATATTGTCACAATTAAAAAAGTGAGAATTGTGACAAAAGTCAACACCTCAATATCATTTAAAATAACTCCAATAGAAATAAAATAAGTATAAATTTAAATAGTGGAACCTGTACTTTACTGAGATATTTCTATTTTCTGCTGCAGTGGAAATACTGCAGATTGAACTCTGTTTAAAGTGGCGGCCGTGGCTCGTCGACCAATGGGAAGGTGGGTGGTTTGAGTCTGGATCCTCCTGTGTGAGTCCTTGGGCGAGATACTGAACCCCGGAGTGAGTGTGTGCGCATGTGCTTAGGTAGGTGTGTGAATGATGCTCGCAGTAAAAACTCCTCAGGGCTCATTTAGAGTGTGATATGAGTCCCTGACCCTTTATTGACTGTCTGTAGTCTCACTCAGACCAGAGCAGCTCCTCTCCTCTGCTCTGCTCTGATATGATGTTTTAAAGGTGGCCAATCACGGCACATTCGTTGCTACTAATTTCCAATAAAAGTGATTTGTTTTTGTGCGTCATTTCTGTTGCATCAAATCTCAGCAGTGCAGTTTGATGTCCTCCGTGTGACTGACTCACAGTCTTATGGATGTCGTTTCATTTCCTGTTCAACGTGTTCTTTCTGTCTTTCAGGTAATCTTGGTTCTAGTTTCTCGCGTGAATCCCCCCGTTTCCAGCTTTCTTTGTGCTTTTCTGTGACTCCTTCTCTAACCTATCCTGTCAGCTTTGTGCAGCTCTTTCTGTTTTCAGGAAGTTTTAATAATGAAATATTGTGTTAGTCTAACCTGGCAGAGTCCAGGATCCACACAATTTCCTGTTAAAACTGACTGTTATTCACCTGAAGACGTCTCTTAAGTGTCTGTTATATTCTCTGAACCTTCTCCACACAGCACAGGTCGTTCATGTTGACCTTTCAGCTTCGTCGCTGTTATTCAATAAATCTGTGGTTTTATCAGGTAAATGTTTGAAACAATCTTGGAGGTTTAGGGGTTAAAGGATGTCGAGATCGAGTGAGCGTCGCTGCCGTCTGTTCACTGAACAGTGACACAAACCAGACATCAGAGTGTTTCCTTCCTCGGCCTGTCAGATTAATGATGCACAGATCCACACTTTAACATCACAAAACCAACTGAATAAATCATTTATTAACTTTTTTCTATTTAATAGCAAATTATGTTAAATCTTACATTTTTTATTTACTGTCTATTTATTCTTTTTTTATTTGTATTTAAACTACCTTTAACTGTACATTTTCCTCCCAGAGAAACTGAAACCAAAGAGTTTCATTAAAAGCTTTTTTCTGTCAATAAACACAAACGATCGAAACAGCGAGGAACTAAAATTAAACGTTCCAACACAAATTCAGAGCGGTAATGAATCTGGATTTATGTTTGACATTTAACATCCTGGATTTTGTTGTTTGTTATGTTTACATACACAAATACACTCGTTTTCATATCTTAGTGAGGACATCTCATTGACATAATGCTCTCCCAGCCGCTTACTCTAACCATCAAAAATGAATGCCTAATCCCAACCCTGACCCTGACCCTCAGCCTAATCCCAACCCTGACCGGTGAGTGTGTCCTCACAAGTGACTGTTGGTTCTCACAAGTATGGTAGCATGCCAATTTTCTGGCCTCACAAAGACGTATAAACATGTACACAAACACACACACACGCACCTGCAGCAGCTCTTTAGCCGAGCCTCTCTTCTCCACGTCCATTTCCAGACATCGGTTCAGGAAGTCTCTGAATATAGTCGACAGCTTCTCCGGGTTCTGCAGCTCCGGCGTCCCATTGGTTGCTATGAGATACAGCGCCTAACACGTGAAACACACACAAGCAACATGTCTGTCTTCATCCCCACGAGGCAAACTCACGCTCAGAGTCACAGAATGAAGGATTGGTGCCATCCAGTGGTGTCTTAAGAAATACAGAAGAAATACAGGACTGTGCAAAAGTTTCAGGCAGGTGTGGAAAAATGCTGTAAACAAAGAATGCTCTCAGAAATATAAATGATTGTTTATTGGACCCAAATATATTCTGCAGCAGGACAACAACCCCAAACACACAGCCAAAGTCATTAAGAACTATCTTCAGGGTAAAGAAGAACAAGAAGTAGTGGAAGTGATGGTACGGCCCCCACAGAGCCCTGATCGCAGCATCATCGAGTGTGTCTGTGATTGCGTGAAGAGACAGAAGGATGTGAGGAAGCCTGCGTCCACAGATGATCTGTGGTTAGTCGTCCAAGATGTTTGGAACAACCTACCAGCCGAGTTCCTTCAAAAACTGATGCTGTTTTGAAGGCAAAGCGTCACACCAAACACTGATTTATTATTTATTCCTCTTTTGTTCGTTCACTGCATTTTGTTGAATGATGAAAATAAATGATTTTTTTTAAAGCATTCTTTGTTTACACAAGTTTTCCTCACCCGCCTAAACATTTTGCACAGTACTGTATGATCACGTGCACTGTGCTGACCTGAATACACAGAAAGATAAATCTGCCTCATTTTCCAACAGCTGTATGTGTAAGGAGGCTTTTTAAAGATAAATCATAGACTTTGATACAATCTGTCTGAAAAACAGAGAGTCCTGATCCCAAAAGTCTTTTCTCTCATAAATTTGAGGATGGGTGTCTTCTTCTCTCTTCTCCAGGATCTGATAAGATACTGGAGAGAGCCTGGGGTGGTTACAGCTGGGCAAACTGGGCATCTAAAGTTTTGTCTACCAAAAAAAACCTATTACATTAAAATCATCTCAGTGTTCTTGAGAAAATATCACAAACTAACCTGGATCCATCTCTGCGTCTGGACTTAATTCATGCATGGAGTGGAGGGAAAGCGGCTGCTCTGACTAAGCAGTGCGCCGTAACACACAGCTGCAGCTGTTGGGCTAATCTTGAGTTGCTGAAGTGATCTTGGCCTTCGTTCCCCTTTTCAAACCTTTTTCAAAGAGCCTCCCCCTCAGAACTCACCCTGAGCGGATTCTCGTTCAGGTACGGCGGCTCTCCCTCCACCATCTCTATCGCCATGATGCCCAGAGACCAGATGTCCACTTTGGGACCGTAAGCTTTACGGGTCACGACCTCCGGAGCCATCCAGTACGGCGTGCCGACCATGGTGCTGCGTTTACTCTGCTCAGGAGTGATCTGAGCGCAGAATCCGAAGTCAGCTGAGAGCAGGAGAGCAGACAGAGTCAGTCGATGGAAAAACTGAAAAAACATTAATAAAGCAGTGTTTGGTAGATGATGATGATGATGATGATGATGATGGGAAAAGAAAACGCCTCTCGAGGAAATGTAGGTTTTAAGGTTGGGCTAAACCTGCCCCCTGGTGGTGAAACATTCATTTAAAATTGGCAGTGGGTAATTTAAAAACAGTATCCTTAACAACTGCAAAGTAAAAACAGCGAGTTAAGAGTTGACTGTAAATTTTTGTGGACTGACTGAGCTTGACGGAGCCGTCCATGCCCAGCAGGATGTTGTCGCTCTTGATGTCTCGATGGATGACCTGGTTTGAGTGCAGGAACTCCAACGCCTGGAGACACTGAAAAAACAGAAAACTATAACTTTAGCATGTAAAATATATATATTAAAAGAAACACGTCAGAATAAAA